GAACTGGGGCCTGGGGTTCACCTGGTCAGTCATTTTCAGCAGTCCTGGAATCAAAGCGTGAGGCGTGAGTCAATGCACAGGCCACCGGCTGTTTCGGAGGCGCCTGTGTCCTCCATCCAACAGCTGTTGTCTCCTGTGAATGTGGGTCTTTGGAGGGTGCTACTGTGTGTGAGGAGAGAGGGAGGGGATGAGCTAGACCCTGGTGTTTGGAGCTGAATGCGTGGCTGGTTCGCAGGAGGCTTGTGGCTTGTAGAACCATAGGGCTGGAAGGGACCTCAAGAGGGCATCTAATCCATCCCGCAGCTGTGGACTCAGTTCCCATCTCTGCTGTCGACTCAACTGGCCGATCACGTAGGGCCAGATTTTTTCAGAGCCACGCAGCCAGCGTGCTGAGCTGCTGAAAAAGTCAAGCCATTAATTCTCACCTCGCGTTGCATGAGAACCTCTGAATTTTCAGCTACCTGCTGGGGCTTCCCCTCTCCAGCTTCACTTTCCAGGCTCTAGGAGCATCCCAGGCATGAGTTAATATCTGATGATCAAATAAACTAGATAAAAGCTTTTCTTGAGACGAGAATCACTCACGAGAGATACAGGAGCAGGAAACTTTTCATTCTGGCTAGTCGAGTTAGAACAAGCTAGGCTGGATTCCGTCTGCCTCCATCCGCCCAACAAAGCAGTTACGGGCCAAGGTAAGATTTTCTTGGCTCCGACCACAAGAGGAAGGGTGGCCTTCCGTATGACCCCAGTGCTAAGCGGTGTGGTTAAGCTGATTTACACCAGCTGTGGATCTGGCCCACTCCAGTTCATGCCTCCACATGTAGGGATCCAACCATGGTACGGGGCACCTCCACAGAGCTGTGATCAGAGGCGCTTTGCCCACCGGGGCGTGGGGGCAGTGGCCCCCATGCATGCTGGGAGCCATTAAGGAAATTCCCCCAAAAGGTGGTATGCACCCCAGTGATTCCCCTTAGGAGGCGGAGCTCCAGGCTTCTTCAGGGCCCCTGGGCAACAAGGCAGCACGTGCAGCATGGGCTAGTGGGTAGGGCGCAGGGCTGGCAGCTAGGAGAGCTGTGCTCTAGTCCGGAGTCTCTGCCTTGTGTTGCATGACCTTGGTCAAGCACTTTTCCATTCTGTGCCTCTACTTCCCTTCCGGACCTTTGTCTGTTTAGATTGTGGTGGTGTCCAGCTTGGCTTCATGCTGCGCTTTCCCATAGCCCTGCGCTGTCCATGGGCAATAAGAGCCTGTGGAGGTGGGCCCCCCCACACCTTGCCCTCCCCGCCTACCCCTGGTAGAGTGCCCGTGGCAGCCAGCATCTCTGGGCACAAGGCCCTGGAGCTCCCCCCACCCCTTCGAATGGGCAGGGGCGGCTGGGGGGAGGCAGTGGGCATTGGGGACGGCTTTTTCTGCACAGAGTCGGAGCCGTGTTTCTCAAACCCCCCCCCACCAAGCCTCCCCACACTTCCACATCCAGCGAGGTCCTTAAAAGCTTCCGCACAGGCCGCAACAGACGGCTACGTTGCCTGGCAACCGGCAGTACATTAGATCGAGTGAATTAAAATAGCTCTGGATGTTGACCCTTCGCAAACAAAACTTGGAGCAGTTAACGAGCCCCGTAGCTGCCACTTGTCCCTGTGCCCCGTGCATGGCCTTGAGCCACGCTGCCAGGGAGCAGCATGCCAGGGCCTGCAGGCCAAACCTTGTGGTCCTGACCCAGAACCCACTCCTGGGGTGAATTACACCCCCAGTCTCCATTCTGCCAGGCGCTTTACAACCCCTGGGCAGGGCACAAGGGCCTTGAAAGGAGGGAACCAACCCCAGGGGATACCTCCCCCCACCTTGAAACACACCAGCCCCCTATACCAGTTCTGCGCCCAGGCGTGGACCCCCACTGTTACAAAGGGGGAAACTGAGGCACAGAGCAGGGCAATGACTTGCCCAGGGTCACAAATGGCTTCTGTGGCATTGCTGGGAATAGTGCCCAGTTCTCTGGCGTCCCAGACCGGTGCTTTAAGTACTCCGGAAAGACAAGTGGCTCAGTTTGTTACCCATATGTAAAGAGATGACTGTACAAGTTCAGAGCTCTGTGGGGGAACAGACAGAAAGAGGGAGCAGATCCCATTAGCGTAATCTGTTCTTAACTGGCACATGTATGGGGCTAAATTGTGCCCACGAGTATGATTTCCATGCCAAGGAGAAAAGGCCACGCAGAGTGTCCTTTGGGTGGGGAAGGGAGCTGGAAACAGGGTTAGCACTGGCATCTCCTGCACCTGGAGAAGGGGCACTGGGCCAGTCCCTCTGCCCAGGGGCTCGGGGAGTTGGGCCTGGCCTGCCCAGCTGTGCCGTCTCTGAGATGCAGAGCCCTACTGACCTCTCTAGGCAGGCCCCCAGTGCGCTCAGGGCATGGTATCTGAATGGTTTTGGCCATTTCCTGCCTGGATCTGTTGATCATTGATCACCCTCTCGCAGCGGGGCAGTCCCAGTGTGCCCCAGGGCACCTGAACCAGGACTCCCATTCGTTCCCAAGTAGCCTGCCAGGGTGGGCGCCCGGATGCAGGTTCCCTTAGGAAGCAGGGGATACAGCGGCTGGCCAAGGCAGCCTGGAGAAGTCGCTCCCTCCAGGCTCCAGGGGGTGGTTTCCCCTCTTGTGCCGGTGGGTGGAAGGAAATGACTGGAGTGTGGGCTTCTGGCCAGAGCCGTGGGCTCCTAAGGTCTGGCCGAGGTTAGGCTCTGAAGGAGAAGAGCCATTCGCCGTGGGGGGAGAGAACTCCACGGCCATTGAAGTCAGCGGGGGTTTAACCGCCCCCTCAGTGGTGGGCGTCTCTCTGCTCATTGGCAAAGTGGGCCACAAGTTGGGGCTTGTGCTGGGCTCCTCTCTGCTCCCGAGTGCTCAGGGCGCAGCAACAAGAGCCACTGATGCATCTGCCTGAGTGGGCCAGACACTCAGCTCGGTGACACTGAGGTGTTCCGGGCCAGCGCCCTCAATTTCCCCACAATGCATTGCTGCAAAGCGGTGGACGCGCAAACCAGACTGACGCACTCTAGGGCCGGAGGGGAGCCTCTTTGTCCCAGCTCTGGAACTCATGCATTGAGATTGCTCAGCAGGTTTCCTTGTCTCTGTCCTCCTAACTATGGGGAGCCTGCAGGGGGTTATGGGGTACTCGCTCCCTGTACTGAGGAGATGTTCCTTCCTTTTTTCTAAGCCATGCAAACTGCACCCCCAAGGCTTTTTGCAATGGGAACCTGATACGAATAATTAAGTTTTGTACTTAATTTCATAACCTACTTCCCAAGAGACATGCAGTAGCCAGATTTCATCGACAGGCTCTAGGGATATTGGAGGCTGCACGGGTGCCTGGTAATTCACTATCGGTACCTAATCGTTGTCTCAGCTTGCAGGTAGCTGTGGCTTTCCTCCCAGCACACCCAGCTCTCGCAAACCTTTTCATTAGCTGAGGAGCGCGGCTGGGGTTTTCCTGCAGTGAGGATGCAAAGTGGCCATCATAGAACCACCTAGACTTGTGCAAAATGCACCCTTTGAGCTTGTGTTTAATGAAATAATCCAGTTCAACAAGATGACCCAAGGACTGATGGTGCTTTGCTACCGCCAGGGAATCAAAAGAGATGGCTTGGTTCAGCAGTGCAGAGAGATCTCTTCTCAAGCTGCATGTCTTGGGCGAGGGTGGGGAGGAGGGTAGAATTGTATCAGAGCTCTCAGAGACGGCTGAATCTGGCTTCCCTTGAAGCCAGTGACCAAACTCCTTTTACCAAAGGAAGGATCAAATTAAGATGCGGGGAAGCAGTTCTGAAGCAGGTTGAATGCCACCACTACCCGAGGGGATGACTGACTGGTGTGTAACCACCCCCCTGCTCTGGCTGTCTGTTAGCGCTGAACCCGGGACTTCTGGCTCGAAAAGCGAGAGCCGCTGCTATGTGATCTTAACAACCAGCTCTGTAGCTCTTAGGCAATAGTGCACGGTCCAGCCTCCACAGGGAGACAGAAGAGCCGCATTATAAATCTGGCTACAGTGATAAGCACGTGGGTTGCCTTACTGTGAATACAGATTTGAATCCCAGCTGGGTCAGCTCTTCTTAGATTTTCCAGGGGTAGGTGACCATGGTCTTGTGGTGCTATTTGAAATGCAGCTCTCCTCTAACGAGGGGCTATATTAAGTGACACCTCCTCATTCCAGAGACCTGCTTCCTTGTGTGCATCAGTCGGATCTGCTGGCTTGAGGAACCAAAATGGGTTGTGGCTACATTTCATTCCTGTTGGCCCTCCTGAGGCATCAGCAGCAGAATTGTTGGCAAAGTTCCAACCAGTTAAACCCTACATGGAATCCTGGTTTAGATATGGGGGTGGCGGCTGCAGTTGTGATCCAGGGCAAATAGGAAGATAGTGGGGTTGCATAGATGTCACCGACGGCATGGTTTGGCCAGCAGAACCTTGATTACTGGTGATGATGTGCAAGAAAGAAAAGAACCCAGCTTGACTCTCAGATCCCAGGCATTTGCTAGTAAACGGATCAGGTTTGAGCTGGAAATCCTGTTGACACGATGAACCCAGATGCCATTTCTGCAGTCTCTTTGCTGAGTAGAGCCTCACTTTCTAAAGCCATCCAAGTTGGACCTCGCTGCAGTTGGTCCAGGGATGGGATCCCCTGTTGAAGGAGGGTCTTTCACGTGATGCTTTTATTGCTGGATGACATGGGATCTGTGCCCACTGCGCAGTGTCCTTTCATTTGCATCCCCATGGCTCCAGGACCCCTCCTGGATTAGAATCTCCTTCTCTCTCTGCCTTAACGGCAGCTGCCCTGCCTGGCTGCCGGCGTCCGTCCCCAAAGTGCTGAGAAGCAGATTAGAACAGCTCGTCCCCCATTAAGCTGTCAGTATTAATTAGGCAGAGTGGCTTAGTGCTCAGCTGTACATTTTTTCCTTCCTCCTGGTTGGGGAGAGGGAAGCTGGAAATGACTTACCATGAATTTGTTTCTCTCCCTCGCAGGGGCTGCGGAGTTGGTGGGCGCACGCTGGGATGGCCGTCTATAACAACGGGGCCAAGATGCCTTCCCCCCAGGAGGCGGCCAATGGCTTTCCCCAACCCGGCGCCTCCGGCACCTGGCACAAGCCGGAGGAGGAGGCACGGCTGGTGGAGCCCAGCCTGGTGAAGAAGGCTCACCGGGAGATCCTGGATCACGAGCGGAAGCGGCGGGTGGAGCTGAAGTGCATGGAGCTGCAGGAGATGATGGAGGAGCAAGGGTGAGTGATGTCCTTCTGGAGGAGGCTGCTTTCCTGAGTGTGGTGGGGGGGACCGTTTCTCCCCTAGCAAAGCCCACACCATACACTCCAGTCTAGGCACACTGCTCTCCAGCATTGCACGGTCCTAAGAGGCCACCAGAGCTAGGCCAACTGCAACCCAGTACATCGCACCCCGGAGCAGGTCATTAGCCATCCTCACCCACAGCAGGGCAGTGCCTGGGAATCCCCGGTCCCCAGCCCCATATTCAATCCACTAGACCATGCTGGATTTCTCCACCACTCGCCACGCTGCATTCTAGGCCAGGGCTGCTCACGTTACGGCCTGAGAGCAGGTAATAAAGACGTAGCCTCTGTCTAGTGCTTTATACATCCCCAGTGCTCGACAGACGCTGGCCTGAAGGATCAAAAATAGGGGCTTCAAGTAAGGCCCCTGTGGCTGAATGTAGGTGGGTTTTACAAAAGTGCCCAGGTGAGTTAGGAGCAAAGGTCCTATTGACTTGAGTGGGGTTTGTGTGCCTACATCCCAGAGGCATTTCTGAAATCTGTAGCTAAATATGGATTTTGGAGACTAAGCTGTGGCTCCTCTGGTTGGAAACATTGGCCATTGCCTCATTCCAGCTCTGTGTTATCTGACAAGGCAAAGGCTCAGCTCCTCGAGGTGCTTAGGTACCTAATACCTGTTGATTTCAATGGAAGTTAGGAGCCCCAAGACCTTTGAGGATCTGGGCCAAAGTGTCTGAGCCCAAGAGCACAGAGCGGTCGGTGTCAGAGCCAGGATTAGCACTCAGGATCTCCCAGCCCTGTGCCTGTTCGTGCAGACTGGTGGTCAGTCAGAGGAAGCAAAGGAGAGGCTGGAATGGCAGAGTGCAGGGTGGTTCATGCGGTGGGTTCTCTCCCTTGTGTGGGGGTGTGGGGCCAAATCTTACTGAGCCCAGGCCTGGGAGAGCACTGCAGAGTATGATCAGAGACAGGCAGATAAACGGAGGGACAGTGAGATGCATCGTTAGCCCAAAACGTAATGTGTCCATGTTTTTCTGTCCTGTTCAGAAGCTACAAGATGCCCAAGTGGCTGCCTCCTGGTTCTGAATACCCTCTCACTGTCTGATCACAGGGTAACCCATGACCCTTCCACACACGATCCTTCTTTTCCATATCTGTCATTGTCTCCCAGCCTTTCCTGACAGTCTTCCCACCATAGGCATTTCTCCAGCTGGGTGGGCAGGCAAGAGGCCATCTGCACTGACAACACCCAGAGCTGTCTGGAGCTGCCAGACTGGGGCATTCACACATGGAGAGAGGCTGTCTTAGAATCATAGACTATCAGGGTTGGAAGGGACCTCAGGAGGTCATCTGGTCCAATCCCCTGCTCAAAGCAGGACCAATCCCCAATTTTTGCCCCAGATCCCTAAATGGCCCCCTCAAGGATTGAACTCACAACCCTGGGTTTAGCAGGCCAATGCTCAAACCACTGAGCTATCCCTCCCCTCCATCTTTCTATCTCCAAAGGCTGGTCCAGAGAGCTTTGCAGCAAGCCCGGCCCCATGCCAGGTGCACGGGCTGGCAGCATGATGGCCCAGGTGTATCTTTCATCAGGGCGTAGATGGGACGGGAGAACCCAGGCAAAGATCAGCCACCGGAATGAATCCAGAGGAAACGCCCAGCTGACCGAGTTAGGACAGCATCCCAACCAAAGCAGAGCTCACGTGGGCGTATCTAATCATTCGAGCTCTGGGCAAGCTAGAGGGTGTGGTTTGCATTGCGAAAAGAGTTTGGTGATCATATTTCAATTAGGGACATAGGAAACTCCAGACTGGATCACACCCATGATCCATCTTGTCCAGGATCTTGTCTCAGACAGTGCCCAGCACCAGATGCCGCAGAGGAAGGTGCAGAAAACCCCACCATAGCACATTTCTGCCCCCCCATGAAGGTCTCATCCTAATTAGAGATTGGTTTAAGGCCTGATGCAGGAAGTTTAATATCCCTTCCAAAAATATATTAACATTAACCGTTATAACTTCGGATATTCTGGTTATCCATATCCATATCCCATCCCTCTTTGATTCTTCCTAAGTTTTTGGCCTTAGCCGCATCCAGTAACAATGAGTTCCACTGTCTAATTATGCAAATTTCAGCCCCAGTTGTTCCCTGTCTGGGTTAAATTCTCCATATGGGTGGGAGTCCTTAGTCTCCATGCAAAGGCTCGCTGGAATGCCTGAAGGTATTTTTGAGAGACGGGGCTGTAGAAATGCATGTTTTCTCTGTTTGCTAAAATTTTCTTCTCCCTTTTCTTGAGTGGAGAGGAGGGGGTGCCTTTCTCAGAAAGTCTTACTGAGAACAAAGGCCAAACGCCTCATGCACGTAGGGTCCAGATTTTCAAGAGAAGGTGCACGTGGGAGCCAGTGGGCATGAATATCTGGCCCTAATCTCTTCTGAAAACTGGGCTTTGATCCTTGTTGACACCCAGTGCTCACAGTGCCTTTGGCAAGATTCAGGTTAGAAATTCAGTGCTGCAGGAGTAACATGGGTTTGAAGTGAAGAAGGATTGCGGGTTACCTGTACTGTGAGTGAGTCATTGACTAGAACATAAGAACGGCCACACTGGGTCAGACCAAAGGTCCATCTAGCCCAGTATCCTGTCCTCTGACAGTGGCCAATGCCAGGTGCCCCAGAGGGAATGAACAGAATAGGTCATCATCAAGTGATCCATCCCCTGTCACCCATTCCCAACTTCTGGCAAACAGAGGCTAGGGACACCATCCCCGCCCATCCCAGCTAATAGCCATTGAGGGGCCTATGCTCCATGAGTGGAAGGATAGCTTGTTAGATAGTGGAAGGATAGTGGTTTGCTTGATTGCTTGCAAGAAGCTAGACCTGAGTGCAATTCTCTTCTCAGACACAGACTGGGTAAGTCATGGCATCTCTCTGTGCCTCGGTTTCCCTGTCTGTACCATAGGGGTAATAGCCTAGCCTTGCTTCTCCTGGGTGCTGTGAGGCTAAATGCAGCAAAGATTGTGGCATGCGGCTATTAAGGGACTTGCACATCGGTACCAGAGTTGGGTACACAATGGAGTGGTGCGTTGCATGGGTTTATGTTGCAAAGTTTATCTCTGCCAAGAGAAGTCCTCGAGCCTTCAGCGGGGGCGGGGGCAATGTTCTGCTCTCAGATCACCGCAGCAGGGATTCTGATCTCCTGGCTAAACTCGTTTCTAGCTTGGTTTCACCACCTAAGTGGGGATTTGCACTAGAAGCCCTGTTTGAAACAAAAGAAAAGGAGTACTTGTGGCACCGTAGAGATTAACAGATTTATTGGAGCATAAGCTTTCGTGAGCTACAGCTCACTTCATCGGATGCATACTGTGGAAAATACAGTGGGGAGATTTATATACATAGAGAACATGAAACAATGGGTGTTACCATGCACACTGTAACGAGAGTGATCACTTAAGGTGAGCTATTACCAACAGGAGAGCGGAGGTGGGGGGGACCTTTTGTAGTGATAATCAAGGTGGGCCATTTCCAGCACTTGACGTCTGAGGAACAGTGGGGGGTGGGGTGGGGGGGATAAACATGGATAAACAGCTTATGCTCAAATAAATTTGTTAGTCTCTAAGGTGCCACAAGTACTCCTTTTCTTTTTACGGGGAAATAGTTTTCCTTTGTGTAATGACCCATCCACTCCCAGTCTCTATTCAAGCCTAAGTTAATTGTATCCAGTTTGCAAATTAATTCTAATTCAGCAGTCTCTCGTTGGAGTCTGTTTTTGAAGTTTTTCTGTTGAAGAATTGCCACTTTTAGGTCTGTAATCGAGTGACCAGAGAGATTGAAGTGTTCTCCAACTGGTTTTTGAATGTTATAATTCTTGATGTCTGATTTGTGTCCATTTATTGTTTTATGTAGAGACTGTCCAGTTTGGCCAATGTAAATGGCAGAGGGGCATTGCTGGCATATGATGGCATACATCACATTGGTAGATGTGCAGGTGAAACCTGTTTGAAACCTGATCTGGCCACATCCTTGGTTAGACCCTGCAACTGTGTTTAAAGCGAGATCTCCAACTCAGTGCAATGGCCGGCGTAGAAGGGAGCTAAGCATAGATTCAAATCCAAGTGATCTATCTGTGTCCAACTCCCCAACCCCTGAATCTCTCCATGAGGACGTCCTCCGGAGCCCGTGTCGGCTCTGCTCCTGCTCGGTGCATCATCCCAATGGCTGATGCCGGGCCAGGCCTGACATGTGCCCAGCCTTCGATAGATAACCAGGTCCCTGCACTGCTCCACAGCCAAACCCTGACTTCCTCCCGGAGTTCACAGGGCTTGGGAAAGAGGCTGTGGAGAAAACAGAGCAGCTGGCAGGCAGCTGAATGCTCCATGGCTTGGTTTACAGTGGAGGTGGGAGAGGGTGTTTCATTGCTTGCTTTGTTTACTACTGCTCTTGGTGAAAGTAGCTGATAAATTATTGAGTTTTCCAATTATTCCCTGGCCTCCAAGGGGGCGGAGGTGGCAGGCACTTGACATGCTCTGGGCACTGGGTGAGATTGGCTTTCACGCTCAGCAGCCAAGGCAAACGCTGGCTGTGATTCACCCCCGCTGGGTTCTCCTGCGCACCTCACCCCCAGCCCGAGCCTGGCTTGTGTTGTCTTCCCTCTGCATTGTTCGGGCTGGAACAAGAAATAGCAGCAGAGATGAGAGGGAAACCCTATGGGTGGCAGGTCTGTGTTGGCACCCAGGGCATCTGGCTTTGATAGCCCTTCCATGGAATGGCTGGGGGACCACATGGGGAGAATGTAACGACCGGTCTAGTCTGTTCTATGTAGATGCTTCTACCATGCTCGTCATCTGAGCACCTTCCTGTCATGCATCAAGCCATGTGTTTATTCATCATCGAAATCCCTTGAGTCCAGTCTGGTTCGAGGGTTGGGGAGAATCCAAAAGCCTTTTGGGCCTTGGAATTGATTCCGTTTAGGTTAACAAAAGGAGTCTGAATTTGCGTAACCAGCA